AAGTTGGGCATTGCTGTCCTTCTCAGCCAGGTAGACCAGGAAGGAGGAGAAGATGAGCACCAGGAAGCCGATGTACCAGGCGGTGATGAGCTCCTGTTGAGGCAAGGGGGGTGTGAGGAGTTTGGGAAGGGGCAGAGGGGGCCCAATGCCGGGACCCCACATCCTCACCTTGCTGTGGGCGTAGACGACGGAGCCCAGCAGTTTCCAGGTGCCGCCGCGCCGGTCCATGCGCACCATGCGCAGGATCTGCAGGAAGCGCATGCTGCGCAGCGCCGAGGTGGCGAAGATGTTGCCCTGGGTGCCAGCCGCGATGACGGCCACCGAGGCGATGAAGACGATGAAATCTGATAGGATGGTGAGGGTCAGGGGCACGGGCTTTCCCCAAATCCCTGTAACTCCCCTCAAAACTCCAACCCCTGGTACCTATAACGCAGAAGGGTTTCCTGGCGAAGCGGAAGCGTCCCCGCCAACCCCGGTAGCGGCAGCAGCAGCCGGCTGCCCAGACCCGGATGATGTACTCCATGCCGAACACCACGATCATCACGAATTCCTGTGGTGGGGAGGACACAGGGGGGCAGGAATGAGATGTGGGGAGGGCAGTGGGATCAGCTTTGAGGAGGGCAACATGAAACGCTGGGGCTGAGGAGGATGCAAAGAGGAGCACGGCATCCCCCCCAAGGCCACCCCATTGATATTGGAGCCGTCCTGGGGGAATTGGGGCAGAGAGACTGGGGCCTTCAGAGGTGTCTGAGCATCCTGGCTCTACCTGAGCCAAGCTCCCACCCGGCTGGGTCCTGTTCCTCTGCCGTCAGCATTGTCCTCCTCCCTCCCGCACAAACAAGCCCCCGTTCTGCTTACTCGCGGGAAAGTCACAAGGACCTTCCCAATTTAGTCTCCGTCACTCGGAAGAACTCCAGCGTCAGCCGTTTCTGACAGTTTGGGGGGAAGTTGCCTTTTTTAGCCCCTCCTGCCCTGCCTTTCCCAGCGGTTTGTGCCTCTCCGCGCTGTGTAGGTTTGGCTGCGGTGACGGGGCCACCGTGAGCCATGGGGACACCTGCAGCGGCCACCCTGCGGCTTCTCCCCGACATGCCAGAGAGGCACCGTTAACACCAACCACCATCAGTGAAATTTGGGCTGGGGAAGGGGTCGGAGGGGTTTTGTCCATGATTTTGTCTGAGTCTTTTGGGGTATAATGTGGGGAGGGGGAGTCCCAGTGCTCCCTGCTTACCAGGATGAAGAGGCACTGGTTGGCCAATTTCTGGTGCTCCTGGATGGTGGAGAAGACCGACAGCACCAGGCAGCTGAAGACGAGGAGGAATCTGCAACAAGAGCGTGTTGGTGTGGGCATCGTGTCCATCCGGGGGGCACCCAGCCTGCAGCCTGTCCCCCCCAAACTGAGACCCCCACGGCCATGGCTGAGCCACTCAGGGTGCAGTTTGCCTATGGGATGGTGGCCTGGAGCAGTTTGGGAGCCCACCAGCAGCTCCCCAGGGGTGCAGAGGCAGGGCTGCGCCTAAATCCTGCCCGTGGCACCAGGATACCCAGTGCCGGTCCTGCGTGGCATCCATGTACCAGCCTGGGCTAATGCCAGGGCCACGGGGGAAGGGTTACCAGGGACATGGGGCTATTTGTCCCCAGGAGTTGGGTTAAGACACGAGGGGCTCTGGCCCATTTAAAATAAGAAGAGAAATAATAAAAAAAATAGAAATAGACTCCGAGGCTGAAGCAAATGAAACTCCAAAAATACATTTTTTTCCCCTGATCCAGCGGTTCTAAAAATGGAAAGCGGAGGGCTTGTGCCACCGGCCCATGTGACGGCGGGAAAGGGCCACCGCTCGCCGGGGCCGGCTCCCTAATGGCACGGGGGGCTCTGGGCACCGTGGCCCCATGGGGAGGCACCGCCGGCAGCAATGGGGTGGCCTGGCTGAGGCCATCAGTGACACTGATGTGGCCTTGGCACCCATCTCCATCAGCATCATCTCCCCACTGTGGGGGCAGCGCCCAGCCCAAAACCCAGCATAAAGCAGACAGACCAGTCCCCTTCCCCAAATCCACCACAAAATTGGAGCTGGGACCAATGGGAAGGGCTGGATCCAGGGTACAGAGAGCTGGAGCGA